ATGTTGGAGGGCCTTGGCTAGGCCCATGTGTAGTTGAGGAAAAGCATTTTAATGCTTTTGTTTTGTGGTTTTGCTGCCACCTCTTAGTTATCCTGCGGGCAGGGGCTTTTTCTGAACCACTTCAGGTCTGGTCAGGCTTCTTAGCTGGGACAGGACACTGGGCAGAGGTAGCTGGTCCTCGGCTGAGGCTGGGGAAGTGATCCCTGGCAGCTTGCAGAGCAAACCCTGACTGTGCTGTGTCTCTCCTCTTCAGGTCCAGGCTGAGGTTCTCCTCCAGTAAAATCACGCCGGTCCTGAGCGCGAGTGAAGCGCACGACAGGATCTTGTACTCCGTCAGGGAGGGCAGCGCTGTAAGTTCAGAGCCCTCTCAGAATCCTCCCGTGATCCTCATCTTTGCCCTGTTTGGGAGCTGCCTTGGGGTGATCCGTGCGCGTGAGGGTTGCGGCTGCCGCGGCCACCGCGTGCCAGCTCGTTGCGGCAAGGCGGTCGGCAGCCCTGGCTGTGCTGCTGGCTACAGCAGGGTGCGGAGCGGCGGGCGGGAGGATGTTTGGGCTGTGGTTACCTCATGTATCTCTTCAGCTCCGGCTGTGTGTGGCCCACAGCTGTGGTTTTTTGGGTGTTTTGGCAGGTCGCTGGCACCCTGTCGCTGGCTGCTATGGAATCCTTCATCCAGAAGCAGGAGAAGCTGCTAGAGGCAGGTCGCAGCAAAGCTCCCGAAGGCGAGGGAGGCAGAGAAGCGAAGGAGAGCTCCCCGCAGGAGGATACGGATGGGATGGGCCCATCGGAGCGGGGGCCGCGTCTGGACACGGACTCTGGTGAGTTCAGACCCTGTTTTAGTGCTTCAGCGAACCTCCCGTGGTACTGCAACAGCTCCACCGTGCGCAGGCTCAGCTCGCACGGTCTTTGGTGTGAGGACCTGGTCTCCTGCCTGTTGCACCTTGGCTGAAGGGAAGGCAAACTGTGTTTTCTCAGCCCTGTTGGGTGATTTGCTCTGGTCTTTATTGCTAGTGGAAGTAAATTGGGTCTTGGCTCAGTTGTGTCGCTGTAGATCTTCACCTTAGTCTACCCACGACAGTTACTGCAGAAATAAGTTTCTTGAGGACGCGCTGCTCAAACTGCCAATGTTAGAAAATCAGGCTCTTAGAAACTGAAAAGCGGCCAAATTACGGTTTCTTGGTAGTCTCAAGTTAGACTTGATATGTCCACACAATGTAAAAGGACCTTTTGAGACTTGGTTATGTTTGGGTAGATTTGGTGGGAAGAGCAAATACATAATCCTGGTTCAAGGAATGATGTTCGCTTTCTGGTTATAGATCCCCCCTCTGAAGCGTGGGGGTGCTACAGCCTCTCAGAGCGGTTACAAGACGATCCTGCAAAAGCAAAAAATAATACGTTCTCTAACCTTTTTCTTGGAATAGCTGAGCTGCATCAGCTGAAACTCTCCCAAAAATTTTACTCCAGTGGTTCAAGTATGGCAAGTTCTGACTGAAAGCATGTGCTTGTGACAGGATGGGTCTGGTCTTCTGAAACCTAGCCTGTGCTACCAGCTTCGCCTGTAATCACACGCCTGCGGTTGTTTTGGGGTGCTGGGGGGCAGGACTGGAATTGGAGGCCAGTGCTCTGCATAGGGCGGAAGAAATGCCGACAGGCCAAGTTAGCTGAACTGAGGGAAATTGAACATAAACGATGTCAAATGCCTTTAGGTCTGTGCTGCTTCAGAGCCAAGACGGGGCAGGCTGGCCTGGCAGGGTGAGGGGAGTGAATGTCTGGGGAGCGGCTGGCTAGAAAGGCAACCGGCGTCCTTATCTGCTGACTGGGCGGCTTCTCGGAAGAGGTTGGCCAGCAGCTCTCTGAGGAAGGGGACTTGGATGCTACGGGAACCAACAGAGCTTCCTGGCGATGCTCTGTGTGGGGTTCTGGTGAAGCTGAACAGCCCCCTCCAGTTTTTGCACAAGCAAGTCCAGTCTCAAAGGGCAAAGCGAGCGAGGAGGAACTTACGCGTGGCCCAGAGCGGGAGGTGCCAAATGGACTCGTGCCCTGTCTTTTCCAAGTGAAGTGGCCTGGAGTTCATTAAATCCAGCTTATGTGCAGCAGGGAGAGGAAGAGAAGGGGAGGAAAGGTGCTGGGGTCCAGAATCCCTATCCCCTCATCTCCCCCAGTATAACACCGATGATGTTTTGGGGCGAAGCAGCATAGAAGCAATTCTCTAGCAAGCAGAATGCGTTTGTGCTGTAGGCTTTGACATCCTCCTGAGGGTCAGAGAGAGGTTTTGCTGTCTGTGCCACCAGGGATATGTGGGCGTAGGTGTGAGTTCTCGTTTGAACCGAAAAATCTGGTTTGTCCAGATGTAGTTCATCCGTCTTCCTGCGGAGGCTCGGACCTGCCACACGATGGCAGCCTGCAGACACCGACCGGAGTCTTGTGCCTGCAAAACTGCCCCTTGGCGGAGGGTAAAGTGTTGGTGAAGGCTAGGAAGATAGCCCTCAGCAATGTTCCTTTCTCCTGGCGATGCTCACTGCCTTCTTTCTCACCTGTTTTGACCACGCTGCCATCCCTCAGCTTAACTGTGAAGGAACTGAGCCCTCGGAGCAGCCACGCTCCGGTCTGGTGCGCCCCTTGGTAGGGAGGTTGGGGCTGCTTGAACGAAGGTGGAAATGCAAGGGAGCGATCGGGGCAGGAGCCTGGGAGGGCCCGGCTGGGCAGGCTGGCTGTGCCACAGCAGGTCATCTGCCTGTGGCACGAGGTGCTAGGCTGGGGGGAAGTGTCAAGCAGGCTGTTGGGGAAAAGAGTGAGTTTCAGATGATGCTTTCCCCCAGGTTTGGTTAGGTGCAGAGGTGGCTTCTTGGTCTGACCCTCCTCTTGGTCCTGACAGACTCTGAGACAGCTTTGGCTGACCTGGCCCTGGACGTGCTTCGTCTGCTGCTGATGGATCACTGGAGCTGGCTGTGCACAGAGAACACGCACAAGGTTTTGCACCTGCTCTTTGGGACCCTCATTCAAAGGTAAGGTCTGAGAGCCCAGTCTCACAGCTCTGCGAGGTGCTGTGGCCTTTGCAGTTAGTCTAAAACGTAGCTTTTGCCTGAATGCAGATCAATGCTTTGCATCACACCAGACAGCAGGGTTCTCTGAAGATGATGTTGTGTGGAGGTAAACATCCCAGAGATTTGCGCTGGGAGCTGTTTTCCCCATGAGCAGCGATGTAACTGCCAGCCTTCTGTCCGTAAACAACATGGGAACGGAAGGATCCAGCCCTGGGAATGGGAGGTTTCTTGCCTCATGAAAAGGCAAGAGTGCCCAGCAACTTGGCTTTCCAGGGAGACTGGCCTCCTGGTCCCTCCCTGCCGAGGGGCTTAGCTTGTCCTTTGTACAAAAGGAGACTAAACAGGCGCAGGGAACAGCGACTTGTCAAACAACAGCTCGAGCTGTGGCCTCCCAGGGCCTTCGCTTTCACAGAGGCACCTCTGACTTATCTGTGGCGGGCCAGTAGTGCCTGCAGTTTGGGCAGTGACCCACAGATGTTCGAGGGAAAGACTTCCTTCCAGCTGGTACGTACTTGCCAAGCTTTTCTGGAGCCACTGCCTCTGTGTGGTAAGGCAGTAGGCTAAGACATACAAGCAGAGAGCATTTCAGTTTTCTTGGGGACGTCGGTGACTATCACTAGCTGACGAGATGGTCCTTTAGAGTAAAAGGAAAGCCTTCCCAGAAGGACTTTGTCTAGGGAGAGTCTCAGAGCCGTGCTTTCCCCACTCCCATGCTCTTTCTTCTCTTGCAAGCATTCAAAGCCGACGTCAGAATGTGCAGGGCAGCACATGATAACCGAGCTGGTAATTTAAGCTGCCCTCAGCGGGGGTTGCTGAAGCGCTTTGAGGTCAGGGGCTGCTGGCCATCGCTCCCTGGTCTGTTCCCTTGGGTGGAAGGAGGTGGGTGTTGCTCCTGTTTCTCCAAAACGGGGAATGAGCTGGAACCCAATCCTTGTGTGTAAGTACGGAGGTATGAGAGATTGAGTAGGCACGTCATCACCTCCTAATAAGTTGCGTCCCGGTCACCCGGGGAGCCTGCAGCACCGACACGTGGCGTTGGTATTTTCCACTAGAGAGGCTGTCACACACGCAGTGGAGGGCGGAGGAGCTCCGCAAGTTGTGCTGGTGGAGCAGCGTGAGGGTGAAGGTGTTCGTAACTACTCCGCTTCAACGGGTCTGCGTGAACCCGTGTGAGCTGGAGGTGATGTTGGGAAGTCCCGGGACTCCTTGGTGTCGTGGTCAGGACAGGGTGCAAACGCCACCTTGTGAACTCACCCCGTGTCCCCGGGACTGCTGCTGAAATCCGCGTGTTGGCGCTGGCTCCGCT